TCCCCCTTCTGGCTGGGATATTCTGCAGCTGTGAAGAATGAAGTCTGGTGGATGAATTAGACTGGGGAGATCTTTCGAGACGTGTGAACGTCAGTCTGGGAACGAAGCAGCCTGTGATTACTTCTGCGGGGAATTTGCATGGGGACAAGGAAGGACGGGAAGAAGATAAAGGAAAGCAGACGATGTGTTGGACCGGAAGAACGCAGGATAAGCTTCATTTCCATTTTCCCCCATACGTAATTTCATTCCTTCGACATATTTATTTATTCCCTTTTGTCCCTATACCTGATCTTATTCCCATGTCCTAGGACAACGATTCTGATATGTATTATTTTCCAAAATCAGTATCGTTTTGCATGCTATTTTTATTTTATTTATTTATTTATTTTGAGACAGAGTCTCAAGCTGACATGGCTTGAGTGCCGTAGCATCATCATAGCTCACAACAACCTCAAACTCTTGGGCTCAAGTGATCCCTTGCCTCCATTTTTCTATTGTAAGTACCCACAGGATCTTGCTCTTGCTCAGGCTGGTCTAGAACTGGGGAGCTCAAGCAATCTACCTGTCTTGGCTTCCCAGAGTGCTAGAATTACAGGCATGAGCTGCTGTGCCCAGCCTTATTTATTTGAGACAGAATCTCAATCTGTCACCCTGGGGTTGAATGCCATAGGGTCATCATAGCTCACAGCAACCTCAAACTCTTGGGCTCAAGTGATCCTCTTGCCTCAGTTTCACAAGTAGCTGGGACTATAAGCGCCTACCATAATGCCCAGCTAATTTTTCTATTTTGGTGGAGAAGGAGTCTCTTGTTCAGGCTGGTCTCGAACTACTCATCTCAATCAATCCACTGCCTCAGCCTCCCAGAATGCTAGGATTACAGGCGTGAGGTACAGCATCTAGCAAGATTTTTTTTTTTTTTTGCAGTTTTGGCCAGGGCTGGGTTTGAACCCGCCACCTTTGGCATATGGGGCCAGCGCCCTACTTCTTTGAGCCATAGGCGCCACCCCCTAGCCAGATATTTTTAATATATGTAAATGCTGTTGTGTCACTATCTCTTTCTGGTTCTTATATTCTCATTAAGAGGAGTTTTTAAGATTCATCCATGTTGCTGTGGACCCACACTAATTACCTCTTTGTCCTTCCAGGGATGGAAACTCAGTTTCCAAGTGTTTAAGAGAGGGCCTCGAAAATGCCCAGCATTGATAAAGTTGTTTGGGTTGTTACAAGAAACATTGGAAAATCAATCATGTTTCTACACACATAGAAACTGTCTCCATCCTGAGCCAAATTCCTTAAGCCCTCACATAAACTCCATAACATGACCCCTTCTTACAGACAGACCTGGGTTGATCATCTACCCGCCTCTGTAGGGTTGGCAGAAATCCAGCTCTATTTTTTCCCCATTAAATGAGCCGGTATTCCAATACCATCATGAGACCACCTGCCCCGTCTTGGTAGTGTCACTCTTATTACGTACTAAGTCCCCCTTAATGTATATACACAGATGTATAGGAGTCTGCCTCTGAGCACTCATTTCTGTTCCAGTAATTTTTCCTATCCCTGCACAGATTCCATATTTACCATTCTGGCTTGTAACATCTTTATACATGGAGGTCAAGTCTTCCTTTTATACACGCTATCATTAAGGTTGACTTAGCTATTTGAGGACTATATGCTTCCATATAAATGTTAGAATAATAGGTTTTGGAAAATCTTAAAAGTAAAATCAGTCAGAATATTTATTGGCATTGCATTGAACTAATTCATTAATTGGTGAAGGATTTGTGTCTTTTCATCTTTAAGTCGTCTATTTGAAAGCATGGAGCAAATAAGTCTTATTTCCTGTATATTTGTTATAATGTAATGAAGAAACACTAGGAGTGAAGACATGTGGACAGAACAGAGAACCAGGCAGGAGCCGTGGTAGGAGGGACCTTTCCTGCAGCTCACAGATGACCTCTATGCTCAGGGCCTGAGAAGGGGAAGGTCAAGGCAAAGCTTGGAGTCATTACCTCATTTCCTCATTTTGTCATCCATCTGATGGGGCCGCTGTTGCTATTGCTGCTTCACTGTCTCAGCAGGCCAGGAATTAGCCCAAAGCAAGCTGCAGAGACAGAATTTAGAACTGGCAGGCCGCCATCAGGGTCTGTGTTCCTAATCATGATGTCATGATGTCACCTCCTCCGTTGCTGTTGTTGCTGTTCAATGACAGAGGAACCCCATCCATCTGCTCTAGGCTTTGAGGTGTGTTTTTGCCATAGCCTCTCCTGGCCTTAGCACAGGTGCTCAGCTTGGCACTTGGAACTGCTTTTGGACTGACACTAGGCAGTGAGGAACCCCAGCCCCTGGCCCCTGATGTTAGCCACACCTGCCCATCTGCCCTCTGCATCTGTGCTGGGAAACCTGGAAGTCAGTGGTCTGGGGTCGCATATCCATGCAGTAGTCTGGGACAGCCACCACCCAGGGTTTTCCTGAAGACTGGGGGCAGGGATCAGGTGATAATTCTTGAGCCCAGGAAATGGTCTAGAAGGAGGAGTTGACAATCCAAGGAGGCCCAGCTGTAGCTGCATTGCAGCCTGTGGGGTGGCCTTGACTGGGTAGGATGCTGGGCCTGCCTGGGCCTCCATTTCTTCATTCCAACCCACGGCAGCTGGTCTTTCTTTAAACCAAGTGGGGCTTGGGAGCCGATGAGCTCCTGCCGAGTCAGCGCTGGGCACTTTATTTCCACCACTTCACTTAATGCTTTCAGGGTGACATGAGGGCTTTATAATCCCCATTTTATGGAGAGGGAAACTTCAGCTCACGGAGATGAGCTGACATACCCAGGGTCACACAGCTCCTAAGTAGCAGAGCCAGGATTGAGACCCCAGCCTGTCAGACAGAAGACCATCAGTTACTCCCATTACCAATGCTGAGATCTGGGGCTAAGGGAGGCAAGACCTTCAGAGGGAGAGACAGATGCCTGTGAAGATCAGCCCCCAGATGTACCAAGTCTGTCCACGAGACCGATCATGTGGCCCAACTGATGCTGCTTCTGGGTTTCCTCTCCAGGGAGGAAGCTGAAGGCCTTCCTTCCTGTCTTCGTGGGGTGGGAGGAGAAGCATGGAGCGCTCACTCCCAGCATCACACCTGGCATCTGGAGAGGAGGGAGGCGGCAGCCCACAGCTTTGGGGGCTGTTGGGGCGGGTCCGTGATCGTAATAACTTCTCACCTGTAGAAAGCACTTGACAGTCCACAGAGCACCCTGGAAGGCTGGAAGGGGGTAGGGGGTTGGGTCGGGAAGGGGGTTGGCAAGTTAAGGCTAGAGAGGGGGATGAGCTCGTGAGGTCCCAGGGGAGGCGTGCCGGGAAGGGGTGCCGCCCCTCTGCCTCTGCTTCTGTTCTCTCATGAGTCAGCCTGTCTGTGAAATCTCTTTCTCCATCTCTGTCTTTATATCTCCAGCTCTATCTCTACTATCTCTGCCTCTTTTTGTTTCCTACGAAGGAATCTGTGTGTAGTTGAGAAACGGAGGCCCGGCTACCGAAGTGCTGTGCCCAGCCTGGGTCTGCTGAGAGATCCTCCTTAGTTCAGGGCGCACATCTGTTCATTCCGTCAACACATATTTATTCAGGGCTCGCTATGTGCCGGCCTCTGCTGGAATGGATGAGGTCCTCCAGGTCTCTGCCCTCCCACCGGGAGCTCAAACCGCAGTGGAAATGCCCTGCCTCTGCTCCAAGGGCCCTTACCCCTGCCCTGGTCCCTCAGCCCCACATCCCCAGATGTGCAGAGTCCAGGACCCTTTCTGTTCTCCTTCCATGATGACGGCAGATCAGAGGTTGGGCCACCCACATGGCAGTCAGAGTAGGTAGGAGGGCCTTGGTCCATGTAGGGCAGACATGGTGTGTTCGCTGAAATTCAGTGTCCCAAAACACCTGTAGGGCTGGCAGCACCATGGATGATGGGTCTCTTCTGTGAGGATGGGCTCTGATGGGATGGGCAGAAACCAGGGGCAGGCTGCTCCCTAATGCCTGAAGGGACGATGGCCTCCTGAATGCCTTGAAGGATATAGGCAGCCCAAGGGCGCAATTGTGGGAGGGCAATGACAAGGGGGAGAAGGAGAGAGGCCAGGGGATCCCTCACAGGGCTGCACCAACAGTGACAACCCTCTTTGGGCTCAGGCCCTTACTAAGACCATAAGGTGGGGGAGGGCAGAAATGGGAGGTTTTGCTGTGAGGGCAGAATGTGGGGGTGACGATGTCAGTCTTTGCTGGTGGGTGGTCTCTGAACCATAGGAATTTCAGACTCCTACAAACCTGTGTGTGTGGATGCTTGGATTCACGACAGATCTGGATCAGACCTCTGAGGCCACATGATCCAATCAGGTCACCATCTCTTCCCTCCCCAGTCACATTGTACAGAGAAGGAAACCAAGGGCCTGAAGGAGGCAGGAAGCCGGAAGCCACCCAAAGTCACACAGAGCATCAGAGCTGAGTCCGGTGTGGAGGGCTGAGGCCTCTTATTCATGAGACGTGGAGTGGGCCTGGTCCAGCCGGGCAGTGCCAGAAGAGGAAGACGTTGCACTCTGACTTGGTAAGTAGAGGATGGTGAACCAGCAGAAGATGAAGACCCCTGTCAGGAGAAGCCCAGGAGACAAGAGAGATGAAGCCCAGGAGAGGAGAGAGAGCTCCACAGTAACCATTCCGGCACTCTGGACCGGTCAGGCAAAAGTAAAACCTACCCCTGAAAAAGAACCAAATAGAAATCTTAGAAATACAAATCAGAGATATTACACCTGGCTAGTTTTGCTATTTTTGGTCAGGCATAATATCTCTGATTTTCATTTCTAAGACTTCTATTTGGCTCTTTTTCAGGGGTACTCGGGAGGCTGAAGTAAGAGGTTTGTTCAAGTCCAAGAGTTTGAGGTTGCTGTGAGCTATAACACCACGGCACTCTACCCAGGGCCACAGAATTAGACTCTGCCTCAAAAAAAGAAAAGAAAAGACAATGAAAGTCAGAGATGTTGAAGTAAAATATATATGTATATCTATCACAGAAAAGAAAAATGAAAAATAAAGAATTTTTCCAACATACAAACCACCACCACCACCCTCTATAAAGGATTATTACAGGATTCGCTTCAGAGGGAAAGTGTGAAGCGCAAGAAATTCTGGGAAGCACAGAAAGTAACTGACAAATTTTTTGTGTGTGCGTTACAAGGAAATTTATAACTAGAACTCTACACAACAATAAAAATGTTGCAAAGAATTCAATTGGCAGTTGTGTTTGGGAAGAAGATAGAAATACTGAATAACTCAGACTCACTTGAAAGTTTTCTTTTTGTGTGAGACAGAATCTCACTTTGTCACCCTTGGTAGAGTGCCATGGAACCATAGCTCACAGCAACCTCAAACTCTTGGGCTTAAGGGATCCTTTTTGCTTCAAGTAGCTGGGACTTCAGGGAGGCCACAAAGCCTGGCTATTTTTTCAGAGACGAGGTCTCACTCTTTCTTAGGCTGATCTCAAACTCCTGAGCTTGGGCAATCCACCCACCTCAGCCTCCCAGAGTGCTAAGATTACAGGTGCGAGCTACCACACCCAGCCAGACTCAGTTGAAACTTAACCCTTAACCCCTGGGATGTTCTAGGCATGAACTCCTGATTCTTCAGCTGGGGACAACCTTGGATGGTCATAGTAATGATTTCTTTTCTTTTCCTTTCTCT